TGCACCCTGCAACCAGGGCAGAACAACAGACTCCACAACTTCCGTGACGTAGCGATCCACTGTCAAACTGCTGTAATGTGTACCAAGGGCATCATCTTTGATCAAACATTATGCCATCCCAAACCATAACGTCCGGTGCAGGACCGGTGTGACGCTCGGCGAAATGGGCTGTTTTGTAGCGTTCTCTGGATCGCCGCCATATTCGTTACCTGCCATCATTCCTCCACAGACAAGATTCGTTTGTGAACAGAACCTGATGCCACTTGATGATCTGCACACTATGACACTGACGCCACACCAGGCATCTAATCTTGTGTTCAGCAGTGAATGGTACCCCTGCGGTTGGTACCCATGAACACAAGTGTACTTCATGCAATCTGTTGCATACAGTTTGGGTGGACACAGATCCACCTGCTCCTGAAGGCAACCAGCTTCGTATGTCACGTGACGCGGAGAAATGGTCTCCAATAGTTGACCACCGAATATGCCAGTCTGTTCGCTCTGATGTGCACCTGTGACACTACTTCCTCTTTGACGTGCATGTACACCTTCTGAAACAATCGTGTGACATAATGTTGGATGGTACATTGTGCCCAACATGAATGGCTACTGTATGCAGCGACAAAACGAGTTCATGAAATTCGATAATATGGTCACGTTCCACAGTCGTTAATTGATGGTATTGAGCTCGCCAACGTCTCAAAGGCATTTTCTATGTTTCTTCTATGCTCTAAGTCTTCAATGCTCCATAAACCCTCAGATGGTGTTTATGACAACAGAAAGTGGCTTACCTTTATAGCCCGCATATGCATACCAAGTGATTCAAGGTGTGCACAACTTTTATCATTTGCATATACACTCTTGCTCCTGCAATTTGCATGACACTATGCGTTTTTTTTCTTGATGTTGCATTTTCACTTTTGAGGAGTGTAAACATAATATTAAAATATAGTATAACAGACTTGTAACAGGCCCCATACCTCAAATATTTTAAGGCCCTATCAAGTTTAAATCTGGCTCTGATGCAAGGTAATGGTGCAAAGATTTTGTAAATTTCCTGTTCAGGGCACTTCTCATATAAAAAGTACTACATGCAGTAGTAGCTAAATGCCCAATGATAACAATAACAATTGAAGAGTTGAAAGAGAACAACTGAAGAGTTTATTTCCTGGAATGATTAAAAAAAAATAATTATAAATAAACAAATAGAAAGGCAAGAAAATGAAAGAGGAATATCCACTACATCTAAAAAATATATCTATGCTCATCTCATAAATACTATCTTCCTACATTACCTATGTTATCTTTCTCAATAAACTAAGCTAGCATTATTAATTGAAAGTATCTTTTTAATGTCCAACTATTATGTTATGTATTGGCACAAGGAAAATAAATTTGCTTTTATACAGAAAAAAAAAAAAAAAAAAAATGCTAATAATTTACATTTTATGTGTTTAAAAAAAAAAAAAAAAAACACCACATCACCACCACATTTTCAAGTTACTTTCTTTCAGGAGGGAGGGACAGACCTAAAATCATTTCCTTCTGTTGATTTTCTAATATATTTTAATGCACATATCTATGTAATAAAGCAAACTTAGCAATATTGGCCGTAAAATGTTGATCCATATTAACTTGGCAGTTGAGGCAGATTAAATATCCATCTTTATTTCAGTTGACATTAGCAGGTGCAATTGACTTGGCACTCTAATCGTGCCTATTCAAGAATATTTACATTGCGATAAGAAGAGAAGCAGCATATAAACATCTTAACGATAACAGAGCTAGAAGAAAAAAAGTGAAGTTATCTAAAATGATAACTTATTAAGATATAGTTTGGGTTTAAGTTTGAAAGTAGCTATGTCATCAGCATTATGCAAGTCATATAATATTGATAGATCTAGAAATGATGCAGTCTAGAAAAAGGCATTACTATTTTTAGAACAAAGAAAGGAAATAACCAAATTAAAAATTAGGAGAAAGAATTACATTAAAAAGAAGCTAAATTACAATTGAGATTTACATATTTTTTATCTTATACACACACACACATACTGCTCTAATCATAAGCCAAGCCATTTGGTATTCATAATTAAATAATTAGGATAACTTTGTTTAAATCAAAAATTGTGATTTTGTTATAAAGCTCTCTCTCTATTTATATACTGCTTTAATGTAGCACTAACCATAATAATATAAAAATTAATATGCAATAATATAATAATATAAAAATTTAAATAACATAAAAATATAACATCTATGATTTTTAGCTAGTAACGTAAATTTGTAATCATGTTAACTATCCAGCAATGTTCAATGACGCTTAAAGAGAAAATTTTACACATGAAAAATTATAGAATTTTAATAATCCACAACCACTTAATTTACAAACACCTGCAGTTTATGGGCATTTATGGATTTAAACTAACAAAATTTTAACTATCAGAGAATTAAAAATGGCAAATTTAACACCAATTCTTTCTCACAGGTGCATGCATTTAAATCACTACGCTGGTGTGCAAAAATTAAGCACGAAGTCGAAAAATTAGCATATCAGCTGAACGAAGAGGCAGAGCGGACAGAAAGACCAATCAGAAGATTAAGTAAGGTGATGTATGGTAGCATATGCGCAGATATGCAGGTAGACATAATGGGGGAGTGTCTGAGTAGTATAAAGCATGTTGTCAGTGTAAGATCAGTATTTCTGGCAAAGAGATTGCACGCCGTATAGCAGTTAAAATCACACCGAGTTTGCTGCCTCAGCGAGAAATGGCGAAGAATCAATCTATTAGACGACATCTGGATGCTTTTACCTAAGGTCGAATCATTGGGAAGTTGGAGGAAGGCCGCAGTGTGACAAGTGTGGCTGCAGAGTTCGGAATTGCTCACAGCATCATTTCACGACTTTGGAGACAATTTCAAACTACAGGAACAGCTATCCGGGGGTTTAGTAGTGGTCGTCACGAGGAACCCACCCGCAGATGACCGGTTATATTGCCTTACAGGCCAGAAGAAACAGGCCGCAGACAGCGGGAGAAATCGCTAGACACACGACACAGGCGACTGGACGACCGATATCGCGTTTTTTACCGTGGCCAGAAGACTGTACGGTGGTGGTCTGTTTGCACGACGCCCTGTACGGTGTGTACCTCTAAGCCTGCTCATCGGAGAAGGCATTCTCGTGGTGCCAGGAACACCGGAATTGGAGAGACAAATGAAGGGGACGAATACTCTTTACAATGAGAGCCATTCAGTCTGAGTAGCGATTCTCATCGCATACTCATCTGGAGAGAGCGGGGAAGCCGCAACCTCCCTCGAACATCATTGAAAGGGACAGATGGAGGTGGCGGTGTTCTCGTTTGGGGAGGCATCATGCTTGGTAGTCGTACAGACCTTCACATCTTCGACGCAGGTTCAGTCAACGGGACCCGTTATTGTAACGAGATTCTTCTTCCATATGTGCGTCTTTTTAGAGGCCGCTATGGGTCCGCAGTTCCTTTTCATGACGACGACAATGCACCATGTCATCGCACAGTAGCTGCCGAAAGCTCTTAGAGAGTGAGGATATTGAACGTTGGATTGGCCGGCACGATCTCCGGATCTCAATCCCATCGAGCATGTATGGATTTTCAAGGCAGATGCTTGGCAAGCTCGTACCTTACCACCAGTAACGATTCTGGAGCTTCGATTGGCGCTGCAAGACGAATGGGCAGCAATGCCTCAACAACTCATTGACACCCTCTTCTCAGAATGGGCAGACGCTGTGAAAAACTGCCTAGCAGTCAGGGGAGATCATATCCCCTATTAAAGACCGGATTTTCTTGCTGGACACCCATCACAGGGATGTTTCGGCCCTTCAGTCGCATTGTGCTCCATGCTACTTTTCAATAAAGCTTCTTTTAGCCTCTGATTTCTCTTTAGTAAGTGTTGCTTACATTACTTCCTTGCGTATTGGGGATCTTACGGTAAATGTGTTGATTTGGAAAAGCTTTGTAAAGTTATTGAAAAAAACAGTCTTGTCCTTAATTTTTGCACACCAGTGTATATTTTTATGCAATTTGACTGAAGACAAATTTATATTTTTACTGCAGTTGAGCATTTTAATACATTCTGTGATTTTTTTAAAAATTTTGCAGAAGAACGAGACTCAACACTTCTGAATATGTAAAGAACAAATCCAGTTACTACCAGAATATAACTGATTTAAATACATCAAGAATATTTTTGGGGTTAGACGATAATACATATAAAACGACTTTAATTAAAAAAGCTTTTAAACTTGGGTTTTTGTCAATTTCATCCCAGTCCAGTATTCCTCCAGTATGTCAGTCAATGTGCTGCTGCCAGCAAAACATGTAGAGAGACATTTATTGATTGGAAAAATATCACTTGCTGCTGAAAAATTATTGTCACTATACGAAAATTTACAATCACTACAAAATAATCTAGTAATTTATACCAACAATTATTTCAATTTCATCACTATGGGAAACGCACAAAGTCATTTTCAAAATTGCAAAATAAAACATAACTTATTATAAAGCCATACAGCATAATGTTTCACTGCTCTCTGTCATGCAACAGAGTCTCTCTCAATCTCCGCCCCCCTCAAGATTGTTATCACATTCTTGTATCTACAACTATATCTACAACTAAGATTACAGTCTCAAGCTTTCAAATTTTATTCTTCTTGTAGTCACTCTCCTATTTCAAAGTTTTTTTTCCCCCTTGAACTGTGATCGCTCACCTGTTGCGAAAAAAAAAATTTAATGGACTTGATAACATCTCACACTTTTAGAGTTTATTCTTTTCTGAACAGTTGTCAACTCTGTTGAACCCTTATTCAATGGTATATGTATTGGACTTGAAATGTTTAATCTTATTTATAATATCTGCCTATCATGCAGTTTCTAATATCAATTGCACAAAATCATAAAAGGTTAGTAAAATATATTTGTTTAATAATTGAATAAATAAAAAAGATATAAATTTTATCCAACCTTTAACAACATATACAATGGTGCTAACAATATCAGCATTTGAAGGACTACACGAATAATTTCCCGAATCAGAAGGTTGAGCATCTTTGATACGTAATCGGCTGACCGCAGTATCTCCTCCACCTTTTTGTACAGTGATTGATCCACGAGTGAAGTCAAAATTAATCATTCGACCATCGTGGTACCAGAAAACATATGCCGGAGCTTCAGGACTATCCACAATGACACATGTTAAATTAATGGCGCTTCCAACTTCAACATACATATCAGGTCCTTCAAGTATTCTTGCTTGAGGAACTAAAAATTTAAAAAATAGAATTAATACAGACATTTAACACTTGCCAATAACTTCTTAACTGTATTTTTTAACAAAATGTTAAAAATTTTGTTTTGAATATGATTTTACATAACATAATAATTCATTTCAATTCTGAACATCTAACAGATGAAAAAAAAACCTGCTGAAAAAAATAAAGCTAACTATAAAGTTGCACGTATTTTGAAGAAATTTAACTTTCAAGTTGTTTATTCTCCCATCAATAAAATTCTGAGTTCCATACTCAAGGACTCCATTCCAGATATGAATTCCTGGGGTATTTACAGGATTCCTTGCCAGTGTGGTTTATTTACATTGACCAAACTAAGAGAGCTTAAAATTTTGTGTAAGGAACATGAGCTATGTTAGAAAAAGTAAACACAGAATCATGTTTGCCCAACATGTTGCCCGAAAAATCACACTTTCAATTTTCTGCTGCCAAATTATTCAAAAACACATCTTCCATTGGTGAACTGGATTTTCTAGAGGCATTTCACATTCAATCTGTTCTTTCTGTTCTTGTTAAATCTTTCTGTTCTTGTTAACGACCCAATTTTAATCCATTTTGCTTCAGGTTTTAAAGAAATTGTGTTTTAGTTCTGGTTTCATCAACAGATGGCACCAGTAGCTTATCTCCTGTCCAGGCTTTCTTATATTATTTTATCATTATATCTTATCTCACTCATTTGTGCTTTTGCAACTGAGGATGATGGTTCGGTAAAACCATCAAAACTAGTCCTGTGAAAATTTTAAAATATAATGCTGATTTTTGTTGTTTGACTTCTAAATAGTTGTTCAGTGTGATATTGTATCTTAAGTACTGAATATATTTGGACTTAAAAGATCACTAACTTCAGTAGCTCTTTAAGGTACTGAATAGTTAAAATACTAAACATTCTATAACAAGGAATAAATAAAAAAATCATATATACTCACCAACAACCCATAACCGAAAATATACACTTTTTGAAGGAAATGAGCTGACTTGGCATTCATATAAACCTTCATCTGAAACCTGCGGATACTTGATTTGCAAAGCCCAGTCATTGGAGATACCAACATATACTGACTGAAATCTGGTATCACTGGTGTAAGTATACTTTCCCACAGTTAAAAGGTGAAAATCTTTTAACCTGATCCAAGATACCTAGCATAGGAAAAATTCAAAATTTCTTTTCAAAATTTTAAACAAGGCTGAAGTCTAATATTTACCTAGTTTTCATATAAATACTGAAAAGTTATCAACATCATATCTTTTTATTTAATTACATTCTGCTTTTGCATAATGTTTAAAATTTTTTGAAATAAAAACATTGAAGATTAGTTTGTACTGATGATGGAAAAATGAGCAATAATAAAGTTATATTCCATGATATTTTGCAAAATTTAAATTGTTTCATGTATATTTTATCTAAAAATTTTGGTGACATTACATAAATACATATAAAAATTAGATTAAAAAAGAATAAAAAAAATTTACCCTGCCATACCACTGTACATAACTGTCACTTTTCACTAAATTTAATACAGTCTCTCATAGATCAATGGTATATAAGTAAGAGTTCTAAAGTAATTCTGAATGGATCAATGGTGTATAAATAAGAGCAATATATATATGAACTATAAGGGACATTCAGGTTAGTTTTAAGTATTTAAGCAAAGCATTTGTCCAAAATAATTCATTAATTTTTATATAATTTCCCTTGAATAACATAACTATCATCACTGTAATGTAAAGCATACACTTCAGTTTTTGAAACAATCAGCCACTTGGAGCGAGGTTTGAAACCAATAAGTGAATTTGAACCAAGTCTGCATATTATAATGGGTGACTGAGAAAAATGACATTGCTCATAGCAGTGAGAAGAAATTTGAAGTTGTGTGCAAAACTAACCTTTCACCAGAATTTATAACAGCATTTTAGGTTTATGGCTCGACAGAAACTGATCGGCAAATAGGTATAATAAATTATCTGCTCAGTAATAGGTACTTGGTAAGATCCTAACTTTTCAGAATGGAGCCCCATGCATAATAGGTAGGTTGATTCAAAAAAAGCTTACAAGCAGAAGCATTTGAAACGTAATAATTGTGGAGAGAATATTTCCACCCAGGGCGGTTGACAGATGGTGCTAGTTGTCCTACAGCGGTTCTACAAGTAAGTAGTGTCAGTACGCAGACACTTAAGAGCGACAGTAATGGCACGGACGTCTAGAAAAGTGGTCTCGCATAGAGGTGCGAGTGCCGCGAACGGGCTGGCTGCATAGGCGTTTTCGTGGTTTTCCCCCATGTGTAACGTGTATACGAACCAGTTTCCCTTAGAAAGACCTCCACGAAAGGCATCCCTCCCTTTAGGCAGACAGCCCTCATGTGCTTTGCCATAATTAAATAATCCAATTCTTAGCACCATTTGAACAACTCGACTCACAATAATAAGCATCCTAATAACTTTTTTGTTAAAAATTCCTAATATATGTTTCTATTACAAAATAAAGTCTTCACTAAAACATATACCAATTATACCTAAAATAACAGTTACAAAATGGAAGGCAAAACCTTTGTTCAGCATTTACATATTAGCTAACGTGTGGCAATATACTGTCAAGAATACCACTCAGTATTGTTGACAGTATATCGCCAAGTGATAGAGCTATATATAGGGTTATTGTAAAATGCATAGAATTGCAGCGTCATGAGAAATATTGATGACAGTGCTAACCAGATGCAAACCAGAACATTTATCATCATTGCAAAAACTTATCAACAATCATAATATATCATTCTAATGTGAATGGAATAATCAGTTTTAGCTATATATAACCACATTAGCTTTTCGTACAGACAACACATTATTCAATATTTCAAATACAAGGCAACACAAAATTTAGACGTTCAGAGCATACATATATATGAGGAGTTCAGAGCATAAATATATAAACTGATCAGATATAAAAAAAATTGAATTATTACATTCTTACTTTTAAAGATCACATTCTGAATTTTAAATTTATACCAATAGTAAACTGCTACATACTGTCTCTAGCAAATATTATTCCCCTCCCTTCTATGACCATGAGCAACAATAATTATCTTTTCCTTGATAAATGTCTCTTCTTCCAGACCATTCTAAAATAATGCCATCTAGTTAAAATCCATTATGGCTGCATGCATTATAATAGAAATTTTAATGTAATTTAATAATATTATTCACCTAGAATGCATTACTAGGAGTCTTATTTCATATTTACACATCCTGTGGCAAATAGAATGAAAATATAAAAAGATGAAAACTTTTCTACCATGAATATCAGAAAAGTTTCAAAAAATAAATATTTAAAAATCTGATTTGTACACTACGACTTCCTTGTATGGAATATTAAATTATACATATTTTTTCCTCCATTTCATTTAAACCTATTTTCTCAAATTTCATTAGAGAAATATTTCTCATTCAATTAATTCAGTTCTCACTTTGCGACAAGGCAAAATGACATAAAAACTCAAAATATCTTTATAACAAATAGAAAAATGTAAAACACCAAATACAGTTAAAACAACAAACAATTTTTACGATTAAAACTAGAGTTTCTATGCAAAAACAAGCAATTCGGCCAGTGGGCAAGAAGCAAGATTTTTCGGTGCACAAAACTGAACGTATTACTTTTGGGTCCATTCAGCAAAAAGACACTGAAGGTGCAGAAACTGACTTAATTCACTAGTCTGCTAAGTTTCAAATGTACACATATATGGCTGCTCTGTTAACAATCTTAGCCATACTTAAAACAATTTTTAAATTGTTGATAATTCTATAATTATGCATTTACTAAAGGCATAAAAATTTTAACCAGAAGATAAGAACAACATAATTCACTCATTGTGAAAGCAAAAAATACACAATTTACCAATGTATAAGAGTAAAAAAAAAACTGGGCTCACAGAGCCGAGTAAGAGAGTGGGTTTGTATATATATGTAAACTTAAAGCATCCAAAATTAAAATTAAGTTGGAATCAAAACAAGGTAGTTCCCTAACAATATTAATAATTGCAACATTGGATAAAAGGTCTAACATTATAGCTAAATCAAAATTAATACCAGAATACAATCAGTAGAATAAATCCGAAAAATAAAAATGCAAACTGGTAATAGAAATAAAAACAAAAAAATGCAAATTAGTAAAAGAATTAAAAATAAAAATTAATCTCCTTTGTCTGAAACCCTAATTCAGAGCTCATCAGGGAAAAACGAATAAAAGTTTTATAAAAGTCGATTAATGCGTCTCGAATACATGTTTCGTTTTTCTGAATCATTTGAGATGAAAATCCGATAAAAGATTCATTTCAATTTTAAGTAAGAAGATTATCGGTTTTTGATCTCAAAAGAGTCAGAAGAACAAAACATGTATTCAACATAATACCACAAAAAACTGTGTGGAAGATTTTGCATGAACGGCTGCATTTCAAACCATACCAGTGTAACTTCTGCAACAATTTAAGCCAGAGGATTATGCCCATCAACATGCAGGAAGCACTGAGGGATAAAGATTTCACCACCAAGATGATATTCAACAATTCTTCGCAATAATTCCACTTATCCGGGAAACGTAGTGAAATAGTGAAAAAAACTCGGCGAGTTTGTGGCTCTTTTCATTTATTTTTTCATGTGTGTACGCATAATACTTTTGAAAATATATCCTTTTCAAAATGAATGAATCATTTATTCTAGCCTTGTATATTAGAATAAATTAAAAAATTAAAGAATAAAGCATGAAATGTATTTAAGAGTATCAAATGTCTTTTGTTGTTGTTGTTGTTGACAAGTGTTATTACACCCAGTCTTTTAGTCTGTACCCAGTTTAACACAGCCGCACCAGGGGTTCTCAACCAATGGGAGAATTTCACACTTTCAGGGCAGAAATGCAGTCAGCATTTTATTTACCTATTAAGGATTCAGTTTTAATTTATGAATATAAAAATACCACTTTTATTAAAGTCTTGGAATTTATCAACATTTTCTATACTTTTTCTTGTTTGATTCATAAAATGAATAATAATACAATTCAAATTTACATAAATGTATATGTATCTTTTCAAATTTTGGAAAGGGTAGGAACGAATGAATTTTTAGCAACTGCGAAAAGGTTGCATACAGCATAAAATGTTCAGAACCACCGAGCTAGACTCTAAAGGGTATTTATCTTTTGTAGCGACATTAGTGAGAGAAAACTGCATTGGTAAAATTTGAGCTTAAGAAAGTGTGATTTGTTACCAAATATAACCATGCAAAAAAATGAAATTGATTACAGTCAACAATAAACTGGCAATTCATATAATATTTATAAAACATAAAATATTTAATATGTGTATACAGAAGGAATTAAATGTAAATTTGTTTTTGTTGTTTTTTTATAGTATTTAATATAATTTCATTAGCTATCGATTTAAAATAGCAATGGCAGAAAATTCTATTTTTTATTAAACACATCAAAAATTGTATTTATTATTTTATTTAATACATTGTAGTGAGCAATTCATTTAATATATGTATATATATCTAAACATCCCCGAAAATTAAATTTTTTATAGATTCCGGTGGTCACAATTCAGCAATTGCTGCTAATAATGCCTCAGACATCAACTACACCTTCTTTTTCTGTTGATGGAAGATTAAATACAGTAAGCATAATAAGTATTTTATAGTGAAAAACTGCTGTACTGATTCAAACACCAGCATCAAAAGAGTGATGCAAACTGTAATCACGATAAACTAGTTAGATCGTTAACTGCTTGTTTCTCGCACATGTGCAGATCAGTCACTGTTTTGCATATGTGCAGATCGATAGCACTTGTTTCTCGCAACTACAGAAATATGTCGAATCAATAACCTTTGCAAGGCTGCTACAGAAGATAAATCCTCTTTAAAGTGATTTGCCTCATTTGAGCTTATGAAATGTGACCAAATGAAACTTATTTAGGTTATAACTTTAAATGGCAAACATTACTTATTAGTTGTAAGCTGGTGATTTTGATAACTTTTTTTTAAAAATGATCATTAAGTTTTTGATCATCATAAATCATCAAACATCATCAAGCCATCAAGAGAAAACACACTTTAACTATTTAAAATATAAATTTTAATTATGAAATAACGATCAAATGGTACATTATGCAAGATATAAAAATATGACAAATTTATTAACAAATTAAACTTAATTGGAACAACTTAACAATCATTTAAAATCCTAATTTAAATCTTAATACAACTCCCTTCAGTGCATCTATACTGCCTCACAATTGTCACTCTTTCCTTGCAATTTCGCCGCACTGCTGTGTACTTTTCCCCAATAGCTGTCCAGAACTCAGACTTTCTGATCTTATAAATACTGATGCAACTATTATGATCACTTTCTCGCCTTCTGTTGCTAAGATAAACCAAGTTTCTCACTTCACCGTACTTATAAAATGCAAGCTGCATATACGAAATTATGGGGTGTCTATTGCATTCATAATCATGTATGAAGGAAATATTGTGCCTCCAGAACTGCTTTATCCGATAATAAAATTATGTTAAATTTGGCCACATTTGTCAGCAAGTCCATCATTCCATCCATGTAATAAACCATCGGCATTCCATTACAACTATCACGTGCAAAATTTTCTCAGTCATGACTAAAAGGTTATTGGTTTCACCTTCTCTAGCTAATCAGTCAATTCTCTACTATGTTCCATCAGTGTACCAACAAAAATATTACATATATATATATTACACGATACATTACTGTTTTCTCCTTATACACAGCAGTCTATTTTTGCTTTAAAAAACTGCAGTAATTTGTATAACCTGGGTATCATACAGCATATACCTCAGCACTGTGCACTGGTAGCGGTCTCCCTTCTATCAACTATATTGCCAGGAACCAACATAGATTTACAGTAAACTCGGATAATACATGCTATTAAACGTTTACAATAAGTTATTATGAACAAATAAACCATCTTGTTTGTTGCACTGAAAGGAAGGAAAAGGACCTTCCTTGTTAAAGCAGCTGCCACATTTAGTCACCAAAATTTGCAATTTGCAAATTTCACCAGAAGTTTACATGATGGCCACTTTAACGAGGAAGTGCAAGACATATTCTTTAGCTAAACATATCAGGATGTCTAAAGATAAAAATTATAGTACTTTACATTGAAGCACTGAAAATTTGTTATTTGGCTCTTCAATATATACATTTAACTCCATTTTTTATAAAAAGTGCAGTTACACTACTTAAACTCTGAACTCCCCATAAGCAGCATGAATAATTACAAACATTTCTACAAACCGTTCTGTCTCCAACAAGATTCACTATACAGTGAAGATACACAGTCTTTCCAACTTGAGTAGTCACATTTCGTGTTAAGTATGGGTCAACATTTGACTTTTTAATATAATGTGGAAGTAACGCAGCTAATGGATCTTCTGTGATACTGCTTTCTATGGGTGGCTGAATGCTTAAAGGCTGAATAGCTCGGCTCCGATCAACATCTGAATATAAAACAAACATCACACAGTCAAGTGCATTAATGTATAAAAATAAAATCTAAGAATTAAATTGTTCAGTATCTTTTTCAATGGATTTTATGGATTAATTCTTAGTTATTATTACAGTTTAGTTTACATTCTCTATTAACAACAGATGTTACATTTTTCATTTAAATAATAAACTGATACTATTTAATTAAGTAACGCTTGATGAATTTTTCATTATTTTAAAGCCATACTTCTTTTAAACATATCCCATGTAACTAATACAAAATAAGCTAATTTCATATTACATGCATCTACATTTTTATCCTAAAGAAACCAACCAAAACTATGGCATATGCATCATAAACACATACAAGCCCTGGCGCCGGTTCTGGGTTTATGTGAATAACAGATTAGTTATTCTGAATTCTAATAAGACTAAATGTAATCTTTTGGTTATGAGTTTCATTAACAAAATCTATTTTCAGCATATGTAAAGAATTTTTGTAAAATTTTTCCTCGTCAATATTTCTTAGCACAATGACTTAAATCTGTAATCATCGTCAAGCGCAACGTGAACACAAAAATATCAACGATGTTTCTATGTTTAGAATGCTTCAGTTCGAGATGTTGTTACATATGGCTTTATTGGAAAGATCAATCCAAACATATAAAACAGATTATCACTAAAGAACAATTATTAACAATAAAAAAAGAACAAACATTAATAAAGGAAGACTAAATGAGCATGGATCAATTCGAGATGCAGCTAGAGAGCCAAATTAATGATCATATAAATTTATGCTAAAATAATTGTTTCTTCAATAAGGAGGTACTTTGGTTAATCTTTGGATTATGGTAACTTGGCGATTTTTAGGCGAAAATTTGGTGACCAACCCTGCTACAGCAACCTGCTAGTTTTGTTTGAACGCCATTTAGTTTCCACGAAGTAAAGGCTTTTTTTTTTTACTCAACATTTTTTTCCCAACAATCTGCTAGCCGAATTACGCTTATGCTAGAACTTTTATGGAACAAAAGTGCTTAATCATGACGAAGATTAGGTGCAAAACTGGGAGAAAGTGCAGAATCGCCCACTGCTTGCCGCGTTTTTAAGAATTGCACATACGCGGTATCATCCATGTACAAGTCGACCTATTTTCACTTAAAAAAACATCCCAGAATTGCACAAAAATGGCTTTGCGCACTTTAATGAAGCGAAATCAAGAATTGGGACTCTCATGTTATATTATGGGGGGGGGAATTGAATTTGCATGCGTAAAGCATACAAAAAAAAAAAAAAAAAAAACTAAATTAAAATTTTTAAAAATTAAAAATTAGTAGCTTTGAGGTCCAGATTTAAGATTATTCTGGATACTGGATGTCCAGATCTCAGACTTTGTACTCTATATGTCATTATAGTGTAAAACTTTTAAGTTATGAAACCAGAATTTTAATAGCCATAGATTTATAGGTTAAATCTTGAGTACAATAAAACGGAATAAATTTATAGGTAAAACAGAGCTGAATATAAATATATATATAAAAGAAACTCTATAATAATCACCAGCACTATTACATTATCCACCCAACTGAGATAAGAATCAGTGGACAAAGTGCTATGTCGCTGAAGTAGGCAATGCAGAATTTTACAAAAATGTATTTTATCTGTCCAAGACACTAAAATGCATGTGATTTTGGAGATCAGGGATTATGTCTGTGGCCGAGACTAGCATTGTATGTTTCGCTTAGCAAAGAATCGTAATGCAACTGTGGAGTCTGCCTACTAATAAAAAAGAAAAAGTTGCATTTTTTCAGTAATATGATGTTTTAATCTAGTAGAGTATAGAAATCTGCATTCCATGAAGTTGGGTTTTAGAAAAGATCAAACAGTCTAAGTTATCTGGTGAAATTTGTTTAGAGAAAATGTCAGGAGGGAAAGTAAAAAGATGATTTTGAAGACATTTTAAAGCAAACAGCTGAAAAGTATCCAAATATAAATATTATCTGTATTTTCATTATTAAAGTATTCATCTCTGATATTACATTATCACAGAAATGTTGCAGCTCCAAAGTAGTTTATGAACTGATCTTATGTGGGTACTTTTCCATTTCGCTGGCACAAATCTCGCCAAGCAGACTTTACTGGCGACAACACACAGTATACACATAAAAAATGTTAACAAATGTTAGTTATAAGAAATTTTTATTTTGAAGGCATGAACATTTTAATATCGCTTAAAATTTTGTAAAAAGACAATAAATTTGTAAAAAGACATCAAGAATTTACTATGCTTTTATGGTACAACATCCTGATTTGCAGTTTCTTATTTGCACAAGTGATCTCCTCTCACATAAACTACGCTACAAAAATCTAATTCTCACATTAATTATCTACATTAATTTCAAGTTAAATCTTAATTTGGAATACAAGTTTAAATGCAATAACTATTTCAATTCGTGCTTACTCGGAAATTATGTAAAACCGCAGAGCTTTACTTCGTTGTGCATTCTCATTAGAATTGAAGAATTTAACTCTTGACTTTGCCTTTTCTATATTTTCACCTTTGGGTGAGTGGTGTGATTGCATCCTAATTGACTTAATTACTGCGAATGGCCTTAGAGTATAAAATTGAACTATCTGGTAAAAATTGTATGCAATTGTGTGCCAGTATTGAAAGAAACAATCAATCTGATAAGAAATGGCTACGACTTGTTTTGAAAATGAGGCGTAATAGATTACCAGAGAGGATATTTCGTTTGGTATCAGCTGCACCATTCTTGGCGACTTTATCGCTTACGCTGGCAAAATGGAAAAGTACCCTTATGCGATTGTGATAATAGTTTTCTTTGATTTTCTCCGAATAAGTGCAATTTTCCATTTTTTTTTTTAAAATTTTATTTATTTATTTATTTATTTATTTTAGTTAAAACAGATCGCTGCGCAAATAGCCAGAACACCAACAGAAAGGATAGTTAAGTGCTTTATTCTGAATGTTTGCTGCATTTTTAATTTAAATACTTTATTACCATTTTATGAAATTTTGAGTGTTTCAGTATGGGATACTTTTACTGTTTCATTATATAGATTTCTAAAGTTTTCAGTTTCATTGCTGCTTTAAGTGATTTTCAGAGTGTCAATATCTTTTAAAATGGTTACTGGTTTTCATATGTTAAGTTTGTGAAAAATTAGCGTCCAAGAAAGCTATGATTGTCGACTTTGCTGGACAGTTGAGCGAATAATGCAATAGTACCCAATCACCTACTGCAATTCCCGTTTGGGAAGAATAATGAATTAAATTTAAATAGATTTAACAAATTAATTTATACAACTTAATTTAAATGCAATAGAATTAAATCAATTACTGCATAAAAATTCTTGTTTTAATCAATTCATAAATAAAGGAAGCTTAATGGAAGACATTTTAAGGGAAACTGGCTGGTATTCTCGCTATAAAATGGAAAACCAGTAAATATTTATAAGGTTAAAGTATTTATTAAGATTTAAACCTAAGCTAATCTGTAAGATCCTGTAGTCATATTAAAGGTGTTTTGGATATGATTTTCTTGTTAGTATTTTGAGATATAGATTTAGCATTTTCAATATAAGTGTCTGTTACTGTTTTAGGTTGATCTTTACTGTACGGTACCCCTTGGTTTCTACGACAGAAAAATCACCAAGTGGTATTGGTTGTTCATGAAATCTGGAAGCCTCCTTCGTGAAATAGGTTTTTCGGTAACCTTAATATGCGATTGTGATAATAGTTTTCTTTGATTTTCTCCAAATAAGTATGATAAATTGAGATTTTGGCTATTTTTTGTAATAGTAACATTTCCGTATGGACTGGGGTTCTTTTATTCTTGACATCGAAAAAGAGATGATTCGCCAAGGGGTACCGTAGACTAAAAATTTAGTCTAATATAATATAATAACCCTGTTTTTATTTTGATTGAGAATAAGAGCTTTATAATAATAATGCTAGCAAATAAAATTTCGTAACATCAATTTGGTGCCCCCTGAATGCTGCGTCCGGGGATAGATGTTCCCCTTGCCCCACTCTAGCTACACCATTGTCGAAAGTCAAAATAAAAAAAGTGGCCAAAAACTAACTGTTAATAATGCATGAGAAACTAGCCTTAAGGAAAATTGTGCGAATATCAGCAAATAAATTGTGATAAATTGAGATTTTGGCTATTTTTTGTAATAGTAACATTTTCGTATGGACTGGTGTTCTTTTATTCTTAGCATTCTTTTCAATTGCTGTGTTTGGTTGCAAGTGTTTTGTTGGTTGTATTTTGATGAGGTACAGTCAAAAGTCGTTAATCCGGACTCGTCGGGACTTCGGCGATTGCGGATTATCGATTTTTCCGGATTATAGATCATCAGTTTAAATCTCGTAAGATGGCACGCAGAAATTCTAAAATTAAAAATATGAAACCGTAATTTATGAAATAAAGAACAATTATGATCTAAAGGGTATCAAAATTTCCAAAAAGAGAAAGCTTAATATTTATTTGTTTACTTTATTAAACATTTCTTTCAATGTAAGTTGTTTAAGTTTTGCTTCGTTTCATGTGTGATAATACATTCTCTTTAATTCTATTAAACAGACATAATTTCTTGTTCAGTTACAAAGTTCCGCTGTTCAAGTCCTATAATTGCTGTGTGAGAACACCGACTAATTTGTCAATCGAAATTTTTTCGTTTTCATAACCTCTGTCACTTTCTTCGCTATCGGAAGCGAATTATAATGACGAGGAACTTGTTTTAAATCATATCAAAGACGGAGCATATCGAGATGAAATACTACATTTGGTAAGGAATTATAAGCCAAATAAAATAAAAACATCTGCCGCTGAAGATAAGGATAGTGTGCTGACAGATCAACTTCCAATTCATTACGCGCCCGCCGCGCGTTCCCCCACGAGCAGCGTGAAATTGATAAACAGATTTTGGATTTCAAAAAACATACTTTCGCTTTTAGATCCTTTACATATTAACAAATATATATCGAAATTCTGTTTGATATAATCGAAAGTTAAGCTTACTTTTATAAAATTGCTCTTACAGTCTGCAAAAATAATAAGCCGGATCCAATTCGAAGATTAAGGAACAACGCAATCATCAACATTAACTGAAATAGATAATTAGATAATTTTAGCTTATTACGTCCATTAGACATAAACGCGGCACGCGAAAACGTATTCTGCATTGTGCACACTCATATTGCGCAGTCGTAAAGGTCTTATGCACGCGTACGCTATGCACATGTGTCAACGCGGCGCATGCGCAGAAAGTTTTGAGTTTTGAGGTCCGGAGTATAGATCATTCCGAATTATGGGTGTCCGAATTAACGACTTTTGACTGTATTTGAGTATGTCTGATGTTACGACTATAATTTCTGACTGCTGGAAGGCATACATGCCTTTCAGGTGAAGGCTTTTGGACACCTAACAGTAAATTATAGTCTGCAATTTAAGGATCCATATTAATAAAATAGAAGGAATGTGGAGTGCAGTTAAACGCAGTTTAGTCAGGTGGTAAACGAAGGACGGCTTGGATTATTATTCGGCCGAATATGTGAGGTGCAAGAAAGCTCAGGGAAAAATAAAATCTATTTATGGCTTTCTTGGATGCTATTATACATATTTATCTGCCATTAACAGTGGATGAGTTGAAGCAACCAAAAATTTAATTGAATTGTTTACATGGAGGACGGAGGAGATGGTGGTGGAGGGTGTGAACGTATGCACATGAGAAAAAGTACGTTAAAAAATTGAGGTTTTATTTATTTATTCGTCTCTGTGTGTTAATTTTTGTTAAAAGATTTGTTGTTCAATGTTTTTATGTTGGGAAATATATATTGTTGGTTATTTGTTGGTCTCTGTGTGTTAAGACAGGGACAATTTTTTTCTGTTTAACATGATAGCTTTGTTTTAGCTTCCTGACTTATAAAGGAATAAGAGTTTAAGTGAAAATAGATTGATGTGTACACGCCAAAGTTACAGCAGTGTGCAATGCCTAGTTTGTGCAATTCTCTGACTTTTTTAAGTTAAAATAGGTTGAAGTGTACATGGAAACCAAGTTCGTGCAAGTCTTTGACTTCTCGTTTTGGTTTTGTGCAGCGGGCGGAAGGATCAGCACAATTTGAAATTGGTGCCGATTCTTCCTGGCGCCGATCTTGACATCAAAAAAGAGATGATTCGCCAAGGGGTACCGTAGACTAAATTTTAACTCTGTTTTATTTTGATTGAGAATAAGAGATTTATTTTGGAAACAACTCCTAAAATTGATAGATGGCTCGAAAGTCATGTAAATGCACTTTCCGAGGAAAAATATTTAGTACTTTTCTGTTATTGGAATCGAATTCAGAAATGTATTCATGTATGCAAGTATTTGTGTAAATATATATGTGTGTCTATATACATATTCATGTATATGTGAATATGTATATAGTGTCTATATACATATTCACATATGTATGCACATGCATATATAACTACATTTCTGAATGTGGTTCCAGTAACAAGAAAGTACCAAATACTCAAATTATATCAACAAATTATGAAGCAGTGTAAAATTCAAGGTTATTTCAATGCAAAGAATGGTATTCTTAATATATTATATTTAAAAGGAAATACGCACCTAATCGAAAGTCAGAGGCATAGTTAGGGTTTTCAGTACCCAGGGACAACTGAACATTTTACATCCCTTTCTGTGTGCTAAGATTGGAAAGCATTTAATTCTAAAATTTCGTAACATCAATTTGGTGCCCCCTGAATGCTGCGTCCAGGAACAGATGTTCCCCCTTGCCCCTCTAGCTACACCAATGTCGAAAATCAAAATAAAAAAAGTGGCCACAAAACTGTATCCCAAGACTGTTCAAACACAAACAGAAGTCTCTGATCTTAAAAGAAAATCCACCGACTCAAAAGATCCATTCCATCAAAACTGGAAATGTCATCTAGCATGGTAAATTCGTTATGATTTGAAATTAAAAAGAATATTCAAATCAAATCTGTACATCTGTTTTTACAAAAGTAATATTGTGGAGGCCAAAGACTGCAAAAAATTATATGAAAAAAAAACAGCTACTGATAAATAGAAATTTCTGGTCATACTTTATGAATCATAACAAACAAAACTATAACAAAATAAAGATCAATTTTCTATTGCTCAACTGATAAAAATGACCATTCAAAGTGGTTTTGTCAATGTGTACAAAAGTTCCCCATGAGATTCATGATAGCCGCAGGATTTTGTTACAATAGTAAATCAAAACTATACAAAGTCTGAAGTAAAAGTGAAATTAATGCACTGTATTATCAGGAAATAATCTTTGAAGAAGAAATTCCTACTTTTTATAGAAAGGACATTAATTAAAGTCACCTTCATATGGGCATAGGCTCCACTCAACATTTAAGTCAACTGTCACTCATTTAGCAAATAAAGAATTAGAAACAGGAATAAAATGTATCCCATTTAATGAAATCATCCGATGCTTTTCCTATCCTATTTTGCATTGAGCCTTAAGAAATCAGCTGGCAAAACATTAAACGGACTTTGCACCTCAGTAGAGTGGAATAAAATTTACAGGAGTGCTAAATCTACTTTCATAGAGTTACATCCAAAAATTAAAAGTATTGGACGAAATCAATCACTGCAAGAAATGTGCCCTTTACGGAGAAAAATTATAAAATTACCTTCATAAAGTGCAAATGACCTGTACTCAGACGGCCAGTGGGACACATTAAATACAAAGTAGTTACAAGACATACAGCTGCATTTTGTAAACACAATACTGCAGAGTTATTTATCTGTCTTCAACAATTTGTTAAAATAATAAAGAAAAATTTACTCTCAAAGTTACGTTTTACTAATTTTCTGTTCAAATGCTCATGTTTAAAGATGCTATTTCAGGCACTTTCATAGATATACTCTGGGTATTCTTCTGTTACTGGGACTGGATTCATAAATGTATGTATTATATATGTATGGATGGATATATGTATGTGTGTATATATAAGCACATATGCATATATATACATCCAAGCACATATACATACATTTCTGAATACGTTTCTGTACACGTTTATTTTTTTCGTTCCCGATAACAGAAGAGACAAATTATCCAACAATTAACAACGATGACAAATTATCCAACACTACAGCATTTATCACATATTTAAGTTATATAATTTTAATTTGCAACAATTTTCAGTACATATTATAAACATATGCAGCATATTTAAAACATTTATCTCTATAAATAAGTTTTTTAGCCAAAAAAAAAATCACTATCACGATAAATTTTAGTATGCGTCTGCAACTATTTAAAGCATTATTAAAGAAATAAAAAGGTTTACAGTAAATAAGACTTTATTTCAAAAGTATCAAACAAACAAGAAATTTTATTTTAACAGAAATTTGTAGAGAAAAATATCTATTTTCTCCAAAAAACATTATATATTTCAAAAATAACTACACAAAACACTGTAAAATAAGAAGCAGTTTCGGACAGATTCTTAATATCTTAAGATTTACAACATAACAACAAGCAACGCGAGTTACAGCAAGGATTAGGAAGAGGCATGAAAACAAGTACAAAATTTAAATACAACTCCCTACAACCTACTTCAAAAATTATTGCTAAAATTTCAAATATTCTGAAAAAGACGTGATTCTTGTAATATGAAATAACAAACTTAATTATTCTACTTCCATGTGATTTAAATATGAAATTAACATTTTGAATAAAATTTTAGAATTATACAATTTAAAAAAAAAAAAAAAAGATTTACATGCGACTTACAATTTACAAATGTCAACGTGAAGCTAAAACTGTAGTAAACTAACAAAATAACAAAACGATGAAATATTCGAGACATGAATTCAGAAGCCATAGCAATTCTCCGTCTATCCACCTCCATACTCTAACTGACTCGAATAGTTCAGCTTTTTACATCTTTTGAAAACTGTGACTTTCATGTATGTTCCAGTTCAAACACTAACACAACAATTAAAATAATAAAATAAAATTTACACATAAAATCATATTTCCCCTACGTAAACAAAGTAGGGACCTTTACATTCTCTGCTCGTTTTCCACGAACCATGTCACATTCGGTACAATTTCCCTCCGAGAATCAACTCAACTCAGATAAAATTCACGGATAATGAACTGACTGGCCACTCAACACGAGAGTATTGCCTTATATATTTCACTCTCAATATAAACGATAAATTTCAAAACTAAACTAATATGTAATATCAAAGCTGCTCAAGGTTTGTTTTATAAATAATACGATATTCTCTACTTTCTTCTACTACTACGGAAGGTTAAATGTAAACTGATTAATTTCATTTAGCTGCATGGGCGTTTTGGTTTTCTCACGTGTATACGAGCAATATACACGTTAAAAGTTCTTTACAAAGGCCTTGCTTCCTGACGAGCATAATCCTCAAGCAGTGGGATAAGTAAATCTATGCGACGAATGACATCACGTAAGGGACTGAAGGCTTTCAGGGCTATAATGTCCTGCTGAACTACATTTATGTGTTTAAACTTAAAAGAAGACGGATATATATAATAGATTCCGTCTTCTATTAAGTTTTAAAGGGCATTCAACCTGCCTAATATATATATATCAAAGTAATAACTCGTAATAATTTATAATAAGAAAACTTTCCATATACCATCTTTAAGGAACACAAATTCCATTTAAATCCTTTCTTGTAATTTCTTGTTTAAAAATCTGCTAAGAAAATTCTTAAATTGCAAAAGTACCAAAAACCAAAAGTAAATTCCAAATATTGAAAAAGTAGTTATTGTCATTGATCGCAGGTTAATCGTCTTATCAAGGGAATAAACCAGTCTACCATCAATTAACAACTAAATAAAGAGAGTGTTTCATCCTACTTCCAAGTAAGCATCAAATTATTTGCTAGATTCAAAATTAATACTCAATCCAAATAAAGACATTAGTCCATTTAAGCCAAAAATCTTGTTAAAACAAAATAGCAAATAATCTTATAAGTTTCGATTAAGAACACAATTAATCTGAACGAGATGCTTGCTTCAGGAGACAGATACCCTAGACAAAAGTTAATTCAAAATCATAAGAAGACCAAAAATTATAGAACCTCAATATTAAAGTTTAAAACATGTAGTTAATTACAAATTTAAACAAGATTCTTGGCTTAAAAGGCTTTATTTGAATTGAGTATTGTTCCGTTCACGTTCGTACGGGATTCGTGTGGATTTGGAGTGAATAACGACTGCAGCACTTGATGGAATATCGAAACACACTTTATTGGCTGGTATGAATCAGGACAGCTCCAAAATCACGTTTTAGAGTCGTCAAATATCTACAATATACTAGCTGGAACAATCAGCGACACAGCCTTCAGGTTATCAGGCTATAACGGTGGAGACAGCTTGACTACAAAGCAGCAGAGTACAGCTCGCGACTCTGTTCGGTCGTTCTCGGAACTCCACGTACTCTCGAAACTCTCCACGCTACAAATCACAATGCACTCGACGACACACAGAGCACAGATCCCGATTCTTCGGTTCAGTCGTTCCCGGAGCTCAACACACTCTCTCGACGATGCATTAACCGCGATACACTAAGAGACTCTTTCGATGCAGTCTACGACTCCGCACGAACTGACTAACTCGAAACTATCTCGCACACGAGGCGCACACACTTGACTGCGGACCAGCAGGGTTTATACAGCTTTCGGCTTGTGCTCGAAAACATTCTGGGCTAAACCGGTAAGAATTCGTTCCAGAAGGTTCTCCATCCATCCGTGGCATATCGCCAATTTTGTCGCCAAATGTGGCAACCCTGCCTTCCCTTGCCATTTTATGGCCACCCTAAAACTGCTTTGCGTGGAAGCTATCTTACCGCGCCTGGAAATTTCATAACACTGCCCTCTCCCAAAGACTTCACGTCCTAGGCAGTACAGCCCTTGGTCAGAAGCCTAATTCGGTACAAAGAAAATGTAATAAAACAAATTACATAACTAAAGAAACAAACATTTACACTATGTACATGTTATATACACAAATTAACCTTTTCCCGGGGGTTGGGACATATGTGTTCCGAACTAAATATCCAGCAACTGGGGGCTCGGAACAGTTTGTCGTTGGTGGCAGGGGTAGGAATTCTAGCTCTTGAGGCTTGATGACTATTTATGACACTCCGTAGGGTGCGTTCTTTTGTGGGATTACGCTAATGGATTGGGGAAAATTGTCCGTGTTTTGAATTCACATGTGTTGTTGGCAAATTTGGTATCTTCTAGGAAATATTTTGTTGAGAGGAGAAAATAAAAAGAATAATTTGTTACTTCGATTCCCACGCGTTGCGTTTTCAGGTTTTTTCCTGTGCAAATACGGCTTGGAGGTCAAATATCAAAGAAATTTTATTTATTTATTTATTTATTTATTTATTTATTTATTTTTTTTTTTCAGCTGCTAAAATTCTTCGGAAAATTTTTAAAAGCTTGAATGTTTTTAAAAATGCATGATACATTCAGTTATTTCTGATTAAATTCTTTTTAATTTGGTTTCAATTCGAATTTAAAATTGTCTTTGTTTCATTCTTTTCATAAGTGTTTTTATCACTTTATTCCAATTTTTAATGTGCATTTTAAGGCAGTGTAATAAATATAAATGTTTCAGGTGATGAAAATTAATTTTAATGTTATTTCTAAATGACATACATTTCACGACTACTGCTTACTTCATTGAAATTTTCGTTTGTATGTTCTAAATGATAACTAGCGGCCAGGCGGATAATATTTCTTTAACTCTGATAATTTAACCTGGATTCAAATTGCGATAAACGGATTGACTGCATGACCTTTACTTGGTCTTTCACATAAAAGGGTTCATATAAAGGGTATATCAGTCAATTTCCTTTGAAAGCGTTCCACGATAGCCCCTTTCGCTTAGGTAGAAAACTCTTTAATCCGACAAATAAAAATAAAATTATATTCGAAATAAGAATGTTAAACTTATGAGCGTTTCATAACTATGTTTAGAAACCCTTCCTTTTATGAATAATTTTGATGACAAAATGAATTTTAATTGTGCGACAAATGAAATACAAATTTGTACAAAAGCAATTATTATGGAACATTTTCTAATTCAAAATTTAAAAAAGTTTAAAAACTGATTAATTTATCCGTTGTTATATGTTTGCGTCTATAATGTCATATATATATCAATTCGTTCAGAAGTTAGATACCGTTTAGTTTAATTGAATATTTGAAAGCACACGGAGGCTGCCTACCTAAAGAAAAAGAGGCCTTTGTGGAGATCTTTAGAGAAAATTGGCTCGTATTCACGTTTCACATTGGGGAAACAACGAAAACCGACCATGCGGCCAGCTCGATTACCTGACGTCGAACTAACAGCATTCAGAGGCCTTAAACACTTAGTTGCTAGTAGTGTTTAGAAAGTAATTAATTTTACATGAGAATTGTGTTTTGAAGGGAATGAAAAAAGATATTGGAATACTAAGCATGTATACAGAATTCAGATGTGTACCACTTTTTAGTTCCCTGAATTTAATTCTCAGTGCGAATCTTCATTAATATTCGTCAAATCAGTACGAATCTTCATTCCCAGCTTCATTACTCCCAAAGAAAGCAACTGTAAATGGCTTGAGACCTGAAAATTTGGCATAACAATTTGATACCTCAAAGGTGATTTTAGTATTCTGAAAATGCAGATCATAAAAAACTGAAGAAATATTTCGCTATTTGACAAAGATGTTTACTTTCTGAAATATCAATGCATTCCTGTATATGCAATTTTGCATTCAAAGAAAAAATGGTGTAGAAATATAAATCATCGAACAACTATCATACAAAGTAATATCTACCAACAAAGTAATATCTTATATCGCTAAGTGAAAAAAACTAAAATTTTGTTACTGAATACATTAAAACTCAACAAGGATTTTATTTTCTAAAGCTCCAGGATTTGCATCTGCATTTCTTTCTTGAACCAACAACTATAAAGCGGTTAAAAAAAAATTAAACATCTTATATGCCTGATGTAAAGGCAGATCAACTCTGGGACCGCTATTTGCAACGCCACATGGAAGAAAAATAAATAAAAAATTTCTTAAATAATGCATCGTAAATTTTTAATGCAGTACAAACGCAGTGACCAATTTCTATTTCTCCAGAAATGAATATTACCGCAGGTAAAAGTAATAACACTCATTTTGAAATCCGGAAATGTTTTTAGTAAAGTTTTTAGTTTCTTTCTAGTAAATAAACTCTATTTAATACATTAGGCGCAAGTTGAGGAGCTGCACAATCTTTCAAACGTATTCTCACTGCTCTAAATGATGAACACCAGTTAAAATGCAAGCTGATCAGCTACACAATGTAATGGTTATGGAGGAGAGTCTATCTAATACATTTAGACGCAGGTTGAGGAGTTGCACAATGTTTCTGACGCATTCTCACTGCTCTAGCTGAAATGCGCCAGCTGAAATGCAAGGTGAGGATCTACATAATGTTTCTGGCTATAAAGGAGCGTCTATCTAATACAATAGGTGCAAGTTGAGGAGCTGCACAATCATTTTGACGCATTTCACTCCTCTAAAGGAAGATCACCAGATGTAATGCAAGTTCAGGAGCTGCACAATGCTTATGGTATTAGAGGAGCGTCTATTTAATACATTAGGCGCAAGTTGAGGAGCTGCACAATCTTTCAAACGCATTCTCACTGCTCTAAATGATGAACACCAGTTAAAACGCAAGCTGATCAACTACACAATGTTTCTGGTAATAGAGGAGCGTCTATCTAATACAATAGGCGCAAGTTGAGGAGCTGCACAATGCTGCTGGCGCATTCTCACTGTTATAAATGATGAACATCAGCTAAAATGCAGGTTGAGGAGTTGCACAATGTTTCTGGTTATAGAGGGGCATCTACGTATCTATTACAATAGTCGCAAGTTAAGGAGCTGCACAATGTTTATGATGCGTTCTCCTGTTCTAAATGATGAACACCCGCGAAAATGGAAGTTGAGGAGCTTCATAATGTTTCTGGTTATAGAGAAGCGCTTTTCTAATACAATAGGCGCACATTGAGGAGCTACACAATGCTTCTGGTTATAGAAGAGAGGTTAATTAATAAATAGACTCATTCT